CTGAGGAGTTTTTCACTAAGGGATTTGAATATGCAAATAATAAGGACTCACCGTGGTTTTTAGCCTCCCATCAGCCTTTGGCCAAATCGTGCCAGATACGCTCGGCATATGTGAAAGTGGAAGCTAGTTGCTGAACCCAGCCCGGGAGGTCCGCAACCGCACCTGGGTACCAATCAACGGCTGCATCATCAAAGGGGAGTTAGTTATAATGAAAGGGTAAAAGTCTAAGTATTGAAACATGCTCGATAGGTATGTACTTATGCTTCATATTCCATTCCTCGGGGAACGACATCTTTTCAACGGGAATCAGATCAGAGGTCCTGACTCGAACGAAGCGGCTCATCCACCCTCGATCTTTATCCTCATCGATGCTAGCGAAGAAAGACTTCGGAGATCGACGTTGCAATTTTATCAGACCACCTCGATAGAGACGAGGGCTGTATAATCTGATTAGATGGTCGAGGATAAAAGGCATCCCCTCGACTTTGCTTGAAAAGTACCTAATTAGGTGAACAATCCGTCAGAAGGAAGGATAAATTTGGCCGAGTGTCACTTGGTATTGTCGACATAAATCAAGGATCACTGGGTCTGGAAAGGGCAAAGAAGGATCTAGGAGACCTAAGGTAAATGGGTATGTGTATACGCTTAGGAACCCCGCTTTGTGAGTGGTAATATCCTCATCGGGTGAAAGGATCTCCACGCGCACTTCATCTCCCCAACGGCAATCTGCCTTCACTTGTTTAAGTTCGATTATTAAGCTAATATACCGAGACATGGGTTCACATCGTCCTAGAATCGAAGCAGGCTTGTCGACCTTGAAATCGGAAGATGTATCACAAAGCCCGGGGGTACACTCCTCAATACTAGGAGGTACCACCATTTTATTATTCGACGGGCGTGGAGACGAAGAGGCCTTCTCTTTTTGGGGAACTGTCTTAGAAGTTTTTGCCATTTTTGTTGTGAAAATTCAGAAGAAGGAGAAAGAGCTGGTTAAGAAATGCACACAAGGAAGGAATAAGTGCAGAGAGGATTTGATGATATTGTAAAAGTAAAAGTTTGAAGAATGAATGATTGAAGCATTTATAGAGGCTGTCTAAGCGTGTTGGAGAAGCTAAATGGACGACCAATAGTCGTCTTTCATTAAAGGCTTTTCGAAAACTGTGTAGGCGTAATTTTTGCATGACTTTTCAGTCACACGAGCCGCTGACCTCACTAGACTGACATCATGATTGGGACATCGAAGGAGCGAGAATCAGATCGTTTCTTATCTTTTCATTCTAAGAAACGCGAGGCTATCTGTACACGGTCGAAATCGTAGAGCTTGATTTCGAGGACTTAACGGTACCCCGGGCTCGAGTTCGGGTAGCATGAAGTAAAGACCGGATCTGACTGCAAAATGCATACCTCGAGGGAGAAAATCGGAGACCCGTCGTGATCTGCCTCGAGGGCAGTACAATTTTGATGACACTCAAGAAAAAGCGGGAATTTCTCAAGAACACGTGGATCAGGGCATAAGATTTGTACAAAATAGTACGAGTCCATACTAGGTTGTTATACAACTGTACCAATAGAATTCTTTACCATAATTGGAAATGTACCATATTAGGGTTTTCCCTTCCTATATGAAGGGGACCCCAATCATTTGTAAAGACCATCTCATTTTTCACTACAATAGAACATTTTGCTCTGCTTTTCTCGTTTACTGTGCTCCACAATTGTTCTTCAGCTTTATTGTTTCTACTTTATTGTTCATACTTTATGTGCTCTTAACTTACCTCGAGGCCCCCGAGATAATTGAGCTCGAGGTCCCCATTCCTCTAACAACACTGGTTTGGTTCATCAATTCTTCTTACTTAAACCTAATATTACTTATATCTTCACTAGTATTGGAATAAATCACATATCTTTAAAACCACAAATCACCTTTAATTGTTACTCATATTTTTCGAGGTAAACAACATTCGAAACCCTCATCAATCCAACGTAGAGTTTGTTTGGCCAAATTCTCAAAAATTATTTATTTTTTCTTTAGTTGTTTTACTATTTTATAGTATTTATTATTGGTTAAAAAATGAAATAACTTACATTTTGCTTGCCATAAAAAAAAAGATCCGTTGTCAGTTAAAAGACCTTGTGTATGTGTTCTAGAATAAACTTAAGAATATATACTTTTCAAAAAATTTGAAAAAAAACTATTAAATTTTCAAGAATTTATGTGTTCTTGATAAACGTTAAAAGAAAGCACGATAACTTATAAAATTATAGTGATGAAATTATAAATATTAAGTCGAAAATATTGATGTGAGGACTTATTATATTATTGTTTCTTCACTTAATAAGTTGCTAAATAGGATCAACAATCATCATTTTAAAGAACTCGCACTTTTTTCTTCAACTTATTTTATAACTCAAACGTAATTGTTAATAAATATTTAGCTAATTTTTTAAAAATATGTATTTTTTGAGACGGAATACACGCACATATTAAAAGCACGAAATCTCTATCGAAATGTCTTTCACCTTTTTATGTGTTAAAATTTATTTCACATTGGATAAAAGTGTAATTATAATTTAATTTTGTAACTAATATTTAGGAATTTCAGTCAACTAAAATTTCAATTAATAAATTTTTCTTATTTGAAATATTAAAAATTCCTAATATTCAGGAATTGAATTCACCTAAAGACTTTATATAGTTAAAATTTATCCTAATTAAATAGACTATCCAAGAGTAGACGTTAGCTTTATGCATATAATCAAATTAATTTTTTTATGCTTCGTTAATATAATTCTTATTGGATAATATTATAACTGCATTTAAGTCAATGACGAACTTGAATCAACAACTAATAAATTACGTCTTTTAATACTGGAATAAATAATTAAGTCTTTGAAATAAATAATTAGCAAAATAATTCAATTTAATAATTTTTTTAAATTCATATATGTAAAATGATTTTTGAGCTGACAAATCTCTAGGATGCATAATTTGCTTTGATAAGAAAAGCATTATTGGTGAAACAAATCACAAAATCTAGCAAAATTGAGTATAGTATAGTGGGAGAAATTCAAAAATAGCCAGATTTACCACTGGTCGTTGAAAAATAGCCAAGTTTCAAAAGTCATCGAAATTTAGCCACTTTAAATCTGAGCGAAAACACTGTTCAAAATCCGGAAAAATACGCCCGTAAATTTTACGGGAGTTCCAACATAAGTATGCTTGAACTCCCGTAAATTTTACGGGAGTTCCAGGATAACTATGCTGGAACTCCCGCAAATTTTACGGGAGTTCAAGCATAATTATGCTGGAACTCCCGCAAATTTTACGGGAGTTCCAGCAAGTATAATTGTCCAGTATAATATACTGGAGTTTGGAGCACTGGTGCTCCAGTCTCCCGCAAATTTTACAGGAGTTAGCAAAGTATACCGGTCCAGCATAATATGCTGGAGTTCGTACACAAATGCACCAGAACTCCCGTATATTATAGTGGCTATTTTTCATTGACTTGATAAACGCTGGCTATTTTTCATTGACCAGTGTGAAACTGGCTATACCATGATATTTTAACTAGTATAGTACGTATTAAGGCCAACCTGGTAAAACTGTAAACTAGAAGCAATACTAAAGAAATAGTGCAATACAAATATATTATAAACAAGTTGATATATATATATATATATATATATAGTTTTTTGTACAATATTAAGTTAATATTAGTCATTAGTCGTTACATTGTTCCTTATCAATAATGCCAACCTCTTCATTCATAAACAGAGAAATTTAATTTTTCAATTTTTTTATATGTTAAATCTTTAATACAAGTATTTTTTTTTTATTTTTTTTCAGTTGAGAACTTTTACGAGGAAGGCTTCTTTTTTTATTAAGCTAGCATAATGAAATCAACACTCGTCATTTTCAGGAACTTATACGCGCAAAGCGCGTACCCTAAAACTATTATATATACTATTCCCTCTGTTTTATATTTGTTTGAACTTTTTCGGAGCATGAAAGTCAAATTGTTTAATTTTTTAGCATTAATTCGAATATAAATTCTTTAAATTTATTGAAATAAAATTCGCATATTTAAAAACTATATATCAGTCATAGTAGTTAACCGTTCAAAATATTTAATAGCTATTTGCAGAATTTATAGATCATTCTTTTTGAAATGTACGGAGTATTAAACTATATATAGTGTACAAATTCCGAAATTTTAGAATGGTTGAGATATGTTTGTTTAACCCAAAGATTTTAAACGTTTTAAGCACTTGCTCTTTTTAATTTCCCCATCAGATAAGAACCCTTGTCCTTCTCTTTCCAAATCGATCGGTCAATTAATAACAGCTTTTTACCATTGGACCGGGTGTACAGTATATAGAGATAAGATAAATGGCAAAATGCTTTTGAAAAGTGGCAGTTGCATGCAATTGCCACGTTCTTGCCCCTCATAATGGATCCATGCACATTATGCCTTTTCAACTAGACAAGAAAATCATCATTGCAGTGTTATTATTGAAATTTTAACCAAGCTAGCTCCTAGATTATTTTCCATTAATTAATAGTAATGGCTACCACAAACAATAACATTGTGGTTGTGATGATTCCATTACCAGCACAAGGTCATCTGCAGCCATTGCTTGAGCTGGCTCGCCGCAATTTATCTTCTACTAATTTTACCATACCCGTTCACTACGTTGGCTCCGCCATACACTTACGTCAAGCGCAGAGTCGCGCCCATGGTTGGGACCCTCTCACTACTCCCAATCTCCATTTCACTGAGTTCCAAATGCCTACTCTCGACAACATTCCTCCTGATAGCAACGACTTTTACCCTTCAAATTTAATACCCTCTTTCTACGCTGCTATGGAGTTTCGATAACCAGTGGCAGATCTTGTTAAGAATTTGTCTGCAGCAGATAAAGTCAAGAGAGTTGTTGTCATTCATGACATTCTCATGTCTTGGGTAGTTCAAGATGTTGTTGCCATACCAAATACCGAAATGTACTTTTTCCATGCTGTTTCTGCTCTGGACGTATGTTCTAGAATCTTGGAAGCAAAACTAAATGTTGATCCAGTCACGCCGCCAGCTGATGTTGCAGAAATATTGCAAGAACTTGCATCCATGGAACCTGGATCAGATTCACCACCACCATTAATGGTGAAATACGTGGAGAAACAAATGAGTTGCGCAGTTAATTATAGTGGCCTAAATATTTTCAGTACTTGTAAACCAATTGATGGTATATATCTTGATTTGATGCAACAAGCTTTCAAATCGTATGATGAGCGTTGGAAAACTTGGGGTCTTGGTCTTTTTATGAACCCTTTGGAAATGGAGCAGAATATCAGAAAAGACACGACTAGTACCCTGCCACGTCATCACCTATTGCAGTGGCTGGACAAACAAGAACCAAACTCAGTGATACGTGTTTCATTTGGATCTGCAGCTTCATTTACTGATGAACAAATAAGAGAACTGGCACTTGGTCTTGAACAAAGTCAACAAAAGTTCATTTGGATACTGAAAGAAGCAGACAGAGCAAATGTCTTTATCATCAATGGCAGTAGTACTCGGACCTTTGCTTTACCAGAAGGGTATGAGGAAAGAGTTGAAGGAAGAGGAATCGTAGAGCGGGGATGGGCCCCACAACTAGAGGTGTTAGGACACGCGTCAACTGGAGGTTACTTGTGTCATTGTGGATGGAACTCTGTAATGGAGAGCATTTCAATGGGAGTTCCAATTGCTGCATGGCCATTGCATACAGACCACCCGAGGACCGTTTTGTTATTGATCAAAGGTTTGAAAATAGGGATTTACGTTAGAGATTGGGCGCGTAGAAATGAGTTGGTGAAAGGAGAAACAATTCATAATGCTGTAAAGACTTTGATGGATTCGCTGGAAGGTGAAAAAATGAGGCAAAAGGCGGTGGAGCTGAAGGATGTGGTGAAAGCATCGTTCATGGATGGTGGCGCAACAAAAAAAGACATTGAATCTTTTATGTCTTATATCACTAGATAGATTTTCTTTTAACAGCTTGTTTGGATGGTTGTTACGCAATGTTTTATAATGTATCGTATAGTATTGTACTGTATCGTTTGTATCATTTGTCGTTGTTTCATGATATCATGCACCAGCAATATGAAAAATAAATTCGCAATATTATAAAAAAAATTATGATACGGAGTAAACTTGTTATATAAAAAGGTAAGGTAAATGATAAAATAAAATAATTTAATAATAATAATAAAGGGTGAGATGAAAGAAAAAGACAAGATAATGACACAACCACACCAAATCGGTCGTTAGATAAAGTGGCACATTTTATTGTTATGTAACGACGGATTTAATTTAAGTAACAATCAAAACAAACATCGTATTAAAGTAACAATACGATACTATACAGTAAGTAACGACCATCCAAACAAGCTGTAAGAGAGGAGATAATTGGCATCTGTAAATAAAGTTCAATTTCTTACTCAACTCAATTGTCATTTTATAAGTTTTTCTGTAAGAAGTGAGCTTTTGACATATATCCAAAGCAAGAACTTTAACAGTTTAAATCTTTCGAGAAATAAATTATTTATCCTGGATCCTATCGGGGAAAAAGAATTGTTTATTATTCTTTGATAATCTTCATTAATTTTATCCACAGAACCTCATTTATCATTAGCAGAGGCTCTCTTGATCAATAAGATTTTGCATCTTAATATTTTAGAACATACCTTATAGGGATTTTCTCTAACATTGAGAATAGGCTTGGAAATCTGTGTTAATCAGTATTATTTCACATCTAATTTCATTTCTTTCTTTCCATGAGAAACAATCTAAAGGGGAAGAATTATATTTATAACCCAGACCGTACTCATATGTAAACACTGGGAATGCATATCCATCATTCTTATCTAAGGCTATAAAATATTCTAAATAGAAGGATGTACATAACAAAGAGAAAAAGCGAAAGATTGTGCTCGCGTAAAACAGAAAGATTTGAAAAGGCCGAGGAGCAAATTATTGATTTACCATTAAGATTTTATAAGAATTAATCAAAACTGCATGTTCCTACACATCATTCTCTTAACATAAAAAAAGATACAAGTTGCTTCGGTATATCGTAATAATTTCACGACATAAATAGATTGCACAAATTTTACTGCATTCCTAAATTTTCCAACGCTACGGAAAGAAAATCGAAGCAAGCCAGAAATAGTAAAGGAATAAGAGAAGCAATTATAGTAATGGTAAATTGAACAATGAAACCATTCTTATTTTGATATTTCATAATGTTTACACCAAAAAACTGAATATTTGGTTAAAGATAAATTTAATAGAGAAATCGGGTTACACTGAAATCAAGAAATTAAGAAGATTTGTGTGAACAACAATAAATGCATGAATAAGAGTATATTTCCAGTATAATCGGAATGATATTTCGTGTCCTAACAAATGTTTGTGACTTTCTCATTTTATAGTCATTCTAAGAGAAAGTGTAATATCTTTGTCTAATGAGGCAATTACGAGCACACTAAATGACATAAAAGAAACGTTATTCAATCATTCTTTTAAATACAATTCTCTCTTAACGTATTGACCATTTAATGTTGAATTTGGACTCTTTTACGCTATAAGATTTCATATCTTCACTTCCTTCTGATCTCGACTTTAAATGGCTTCGAACGGTAACGAGTCTCGTTCATCTGGATAGTAGCTCGTATCTTCTCTCCTGCATCTATTGTTGCTCGTTCATTCTAACTGTTTGTCATGCTTTGACTATTTGACCGGTCTAACGTGTCATGACATTGTCATCTTACATATTTAAATTCAGTTTTTTCCCAATACAGATAGTCCCACTTCCATTTATTATCAATTAATATTTGGGAAGTGGGATCTTCATTAAAAAGGGAATTTTTTGCTATAATTAAATGCTATGACAGTATAACGCTTCAGTTGTCTTTTCTATTTAATGCATGCACACACGTTGTCTCTTCTCATTAAGCGTCTAGTAATTCTGCAGCGGCTTTTTTCAAAGGCTTTTCAACTCCAACTATTCACGAAGTGATAGTTGGCCTTTTATTATAGGCTTTCCATCATTAGCACTTCTTAATCTTTGACGTTGCTTTTATATTAAATTATATCCTCCTTTCCGACAAATTTTTACCTAATATTTCAACTATTTACTTCCCTATTCACTTCTTCTCTAATCGGTTCAAGCCTTCTACAATGTATCTTCAAATCCAACCCTTAGAAGAGTCCAATTCTTGACAGTTTCCCCCAATGCCCTTGTGAGACATAGAAGGGGTAAGAGGGGTAGACTTGTGGCCTGGATCCCATTCGTGTGGTAGCTCTGGTTCCGATTCACTCCTTCTTCTTAGCTCTGCATTACTTCTAAGAGGTTACTTTCATTAATAGATCTTTCCTCTAGAAAGGCAAAGAATCTTTTGAGTAGATGCAAAGAACCTTTGGTCGAAGAAATTAGTTGCAGACTGATTTATCTTTCTGAGCATGATAAAGAATCCCTTCGTTGACAAGTAATTAAATAGAGAGAGCTTGAACTTTATCCTTTCTTTAATTACTGAACCCTTAATTTCCACTGTTCGAAAGATTGTCGTTGGAGAGATGACCTTCATATAGTTATTCCTAACCCGAACCAGAGAATTATCTTCTTAATAGGATTGTGTTTCCTTTGTTTATACTTATCCCTTTACTTCGGGATATTATTCCTGCTATCGACTTCAATCATATTTGATTTTTTGTCGTTTTTTTCAAAATTTGTTTGGCTCAAATTGGCCCTCTCGTATGGAGAGCAGTAGCTTGTTTAAGGTATGTATCGGTAAAGGCTGATGTCGATTTTACCTTCTCTCATCTGATTCATCTTTACCACCCCAAGCTGTTTCAACATGGTGTTTTTACCCTAACCGCAAGAAGTAAAAGGGTTTTTTGGTAAAGCCCTGAAGATGATAAAGATCGAGGCTGGTACAACCCGTTATGTTTGCGGTACCACGGTTGATTTGGTGGTGAATCAAATATTCCTTTCCCTGAGAAATGGAAACCTTGCACGTAAGTATTTCTTTCTTGCCGTGTTTGTTTTAATTTCAACTCCTTTTCTAATAATCATTCTTTTTTGCTTTTTTTTTGTAGAAACCATGGGAGATGTGGAACCGTTCCTAATTTTCGTGGTTGGGTAGATGTTATTTTGGAAGGTCGTGCCTATGGAGGCACGACCTGGAAATCTATTTCTAACAAACATGGTTGGAAAGTAAAAACTCACGTATCGTCTCTTATTGTTTCCCATTAAATTTTTTCCCTCTTCTAACTTTTTATCCTTCTTTCTGTTAGGATTTGCTATTCGAGGAATGTCAGCTGAAGTAGCTATTGCCCTTCGAGCTTCTTTTGGTACTCCTCTTTCTTTAGAGAGAGCCAAAGCTACGATGTCAAAGAGGAAAGTTGTTGAAGAGGATTTCGAGGACGATGAAGATGAAGACACCTCTTTGGCAGTTAGACCTAGAGTCAGGAGACGTATACATTTCTGAAGATGAAGCTGAAATTTCTACCTACCCGTGCCTCCTCTCCGGTTAATATTGTTTCCGATGATGAAACCATCCCAGGGACACCATTGAATCCACTCAACGTCTCTTCACTGAGGGTTTCGAAAGTGGTGATCTAGGTCGGTTTTGATGAGGTTCCTCTTTCCTTTCCATTCCTGTTCCTTCTATTCCTTCTTTAGTTTAAGTACATCTTTGCCCATTTTATCTGTTCTGCTTCTTTTGTCAATTTCTGCTCCTTTACCTGCTTCGACTCCCTGACTGCTGTTATTTTCACCTCTTCTACCGTTCCCTTCTATAGTCCCCTCTTCCTCTGTTCAGCATGCAGAGGAGGGTTCTAGTAGCAGAAGTTTTAGCTATGAGGAGTGTAACACTTGAGGTTCCTGCTACTAACAGTCTTTTAGGAAGTCTGTGGAGCAGATGTCTGGCTTAAGCCTTTAATTGGAGATATTGAGAAGAAAAAGATGGACAGTCACAGTTGCTTAACTTTGATGAATGACATAGTTCTATTCTACGTTGAAGGTATTCTCCCTTTACTTTTTAATAAGTTTTATTTTTTTATTATTTCTAGATTCTTATCTTCATGAGTTGTCTTTGTAGGCCAACCTTATTGGCACGGAGTTGATGGGAAGAATTTCCCTTTTAGAAAAGAAGGCTCGTGAATCTGATAAGACTATTCCGAGGCTAAGAGGGTAGCTAAGGAACCCAACTGGAGAACCTTTAAATGAAGAAAGAAGCTGCTGTGATAATTGAAGTTGAAAAATGTTGCTATTCCAGCTCCGAGGGTGAAACTTTATGAATCGGCTTGAGGAAGCTGACGCTTCCGTGGCTCTTGCTCCCTCGAAGAATCTACCATTTCAATCCCAGCTGAAACCGCTTCTGTTGTTGTTTCTTCAGAAGTTACCGTTCCTGAAAGTGAAGCTGATATCACAAACTTCTGATGCTCCAGCCCTTCAGTGACAAGTTTATGTTTTAAAACTTTATTTTTATTTGGCTTTGTTGATTGGTGGAAAAAGTCCCCAGTTATCATAATGGGGCACTTGTTGACTAAGTTTTTACTTAGTCTTTTTAACTATATAAAGAAGTTTATTAGTACTTAAAATGTTCTATTCTTGCCTTTTTTCTTATCTATTTAGGACTTATAGAATAGTTTAGCATTTTTTAAACTTTGAAAATGCTTTATGATCTTCTCATGACTTATTAACATGAGCCTTATAAAAGAGGCCCTTTTTATATATATCGACACTTAATGAAGAAGAGTCTCAACTTCATAATGGTGTTACATACGATGAAAGAAATAGGAACACACATGTTTCGCTTTGGAAACCACTTTGACAAGTTTTTATTCAAGAACTTTGACAAGCTTTTGAATATTACATGTATTAAAATACATCTATAACTTTCTCGTAACTGTTTTTCTTGTAACAGATGTTTGCAAAATAAAATATAATTCTAACAAGGTTTTTTCTTAATAACCCGTTTCAGTATATCGTCATGAACCTATCTTCATGTACTAGAAGGGTTTGAGAGGTGACTCCATTGTTCCCATGAGTTCGAGCACTATGAATGAATGTTTTATATCCTCATTTTGTTTTGATGGGAAAGACATAATGATAAATGTTGAGGTTTCCGTAGCTCCTGCTCGAACACTTGTCTTTATTTTTCAACTTTCATTACATATCTGTTTTCCCCCCCGCACATATCTGTGTACAATATGTAGTCCCCCAAGTGTTTGAGCGGTGAAGTATGAAGCCTCGAGTACTTGGTAATCTTCTTCACCTGGTCCTTTTCCTGAAAAGGAAATATATACGGGACTCGAGGGTGCGATTATAGATGAAGACTGCTTAACCCGTGTATACTTCTATCAGAATAATTGTAACCCTGGGCTAGGAATTTTAGTTTATTCCCTTTTGCTTACAGGTCGTGACTCATCATTAGTACGAGGTTAGCGTTTTGGCTATCATCTAAATCGTTAGTAAAATTTTAAACAATTCAAAAAATAAATAATTTAACGTGGTGATGCCTGACGCGTGGTTTTTTCCTTAGAAGTAGTATCTCTTCAAATGAATTGCATTCCAATGTGAGGGAAGCACCTTCGCTGTCCATTGTTTCTAATTCGTAATGCTCCTTTTCCCTGTAATGTCCCGAACTCTGTAGGGTTCCATCA